TACAAGTACTGCCATTTACGGCCGGTTCAATAACTAACGGGAGGTGGCTAGATACGATTACGACGGGACGCACAGCCCACGCCTTAAGGAGCATCGCTCCTAAAGCTTTAATTCAACATAAGTTATTGGAACCGTAGGAGCCATAGCCGAGGTCCCTAATGGCCTTACCTGCCCGTTTTGTTGGGTGCATCAGCGCTTTCTGGAAGGCCTAGTCACAGCTGGGAATCCGCTATACAGAGTGTCCCATGTAACTTTAGCCAGAGTTTAAAAATATGCCGAAACACGTAAGTACGACGCCACCAAACGCATGTTGCTCACCGTTGCCTGTAGTTGATCAGACTAATTTTGTGTTCTCAAATAATGTTTATTGGATATGTTTAATTAACTAGATTTTCCAGAAAGGAACATAGATAAAAAATTCAATGAGAAAGTTGTAGGTCTGTTTGCAAAACGTCCGATTGGACAGTTTTGAACATTATATCCGCTAGGTATCAGTTTTAGAAGCGAAGCTCCTTATAGCGGCACCCGTTCGTCCCCCGTAGTATGTAACAAGTATAACATTTTGACCTCCAAGGTGGTGCCGGTGAGAGACTTCTTCTGTGCGTTGTTGAACAATAAAAAATAGTGCTCAATGTGATTGCCAATGGCTGCTAATGGGGAATGAGAGACAGGAGCATTTGGCTTTTAGTTAACGCGCTGGCTGCGATCACCATTAGCAGCCATTGGCATGTACATTGAGCACTATCTGACAGGAAAGGGTTGCTGCGTTATACTCGCTGGGTGTAACCTCCTTAGCTTTAGAAAGGTTTAGCGAGCGTTGAGCCGCACTGCCATGAATACAATGAACTTGTATATACCATGAATGAACTCGAGGTGGTTAAAAATGGGAAGTAGATACGAAGCGCAAGCCGTAAGAAAGTAAAAGCCGAATTCTCCGCCTTTCATTTCCCATTAGCAGCCATTGGCATGTACATTGAGCACTATCTGACTGAAAAAGTTTGCTACGTCATACTCGCTGGGCGTAACCACCTTGGTTTTCGAAAGGTTTAGCGAGCGTTCGGCCGCAGTGCCATGAATACAGTGAACTAGTATATACCATGAACTCGAGGCGGTTAAAGGTGGCAAGTGGACCCGAAGCGCAAGCCGTAAGAAAGTGTGCGTGTGCCACCTCTCGTTTAGTCCTTGGAATGTCCACTGGATGGCGGTGCTTCTATATGGGGAATATATGATGAAAAGATGCGAGATGGTGGTACGGAGTGTTGAATAGATGGACGAACGGACACATAGACAGATGCATGGATGGACGCATGAACGGACGCAGGGGCGGCTGCATGGACGAACGCAGGGACGGACGCACGAACAGACGCACGCACGGACGGGCTCATGGACGCATGGACGGTCACACTGACGGACGCATGGACGGACGGAAGCAAGAACGAATGGACGGACGTATTCTTCGCCCCACTCTCCATCATACACTCCGTGGATATGCTGCCATTTTTTTCTCCTAATTACAAATGTCCGCGAAATACAAAAAAATACCACGTAACAAACCCGCTCGTGCGCCAGTGCGCACAATGATTGTAGTGACCACTAACGTTCTGCGTACGAACGGCCATAGCGTTTGCCCCATTGTGCTGTCTCGGCAAGGCCGCAACGATGGTGGCGGCATTACGGTGAACACCTTTTGGCTATCGGCCACAAAAACGATAACCATTGTGACCGCTTATCGCTGTCATGAACCGGTGCGGGAGAAGCGTGTCGTTCGTACGCGAAACGTTAGGGAGCTCTAGAATCATCGTGCGCACTGACGCGCGAGCGTGTTTGTAACGTGGTGTTTTTTTGTATATCGCGGGAATTCGTAATTAGCTGAAAAATGCTAATACTGAACAATTAAAAAGTTCAAAACTATCTATTTGGACGTTTTGCAAACCGATCGACAAGTTTCTTATTGAAATTTTTAATCCATCTTCGTTCCTTGAAAAAATAATTAATAAACATATATAATTAAGCAATATTTGAGAACACAAAAAATAGTCTGACTAACTCGAGGCAACGGAGAGAAAAATGCATTTAGTCGCATCGTAATTACGTGTTGCGGCATATTTTTAAACTCTGGCTAAAGTTATGTGGGACACCCTGTATTTGGGCTAACACATCATTCTGTATGTAGTAACATATAGCTAGCTGTTCATCGCAAGCGTGTACCATCTAGCCCAGTGTCCACGAAAAACTCTTTCAAAAAGATGTTCGCCTTTTGCTGAAAATGCTTTTCAGGCCGTGGTCTAATTTATTTGAAAATTGCTTGCAAAACTAGTTAGGACCCCTTCAAACATGGAGTGAGGTTAGCGAGCACTCGTAGTGATGGCTCTAGAGAACAAAGACTGTACTTATACTCGACAGCATTTATACGCGCCAGCGGCTCCTCGATTTCTATTTTTTTGTATTTTATGTCTATTTCTAGTTATTGCATTTTTACTTTACAACATCATGTTCACGGACGTAAGAATGGTTCAACCTGAAATTGCTTCCGCACTTGCGCCGTACCAACAACGAGTGTACCAGAAAAGACCAGCATATATATATATATATATATATATATATATATATATATATATATATATATATATATATATATGTGTGTGTGTGTGTGTGTGTGTGTGTGTGTGTGTGTGTGTGTGTGTGTGTGTGTGTGTGTGTGTGTGTGTCACGTAAAGTGGCTGCAGAAGAAGACAGAGTTCTTGACTGGTTCTCAACTTCGTCAATGACGTATCAAAGGTATTTGAAAAAAAAAAGTCGCCAGTGAAAAGAATCATTAATGTTCTTTCTAATGTGACCCACGGAAACTATTTATTAAGGGAGAAATGGCAAAGCGTAACATATAAAATGACGTTCCAGACAAGACTTTTCTCAAAGTACAGTTCAAGCGCAGAATCTGTGGAAGTCTGGCGACCATTTAATTGGCCATTTATTACCTTGACATTGAAGTTAAGCTTTACATTGCGCAAAAAGAGTATTTACTGTTCCCATTTCTTTTCTTTCGAGCGCAGTTGAGCCGGACGTAGCGGCGCATTGCGCGTTAAAAGTTTGCGTCATGGTGAGTATCTGTAATGTGCTGGTTATTTGGGACCGATAGCACCATCGAGTACAGATGTCCACTTTAGAGTTTAGCGACTCTAAAGAGAAGGAAAAAAAGGGTAGGGGAAAGGAGAGGATATAGCAGTTCTCATCGATGAAAACGAAAGTATTAACAGAAGCCTGTTGAACGGAGAGTACCGTTTCTCAATAGGGGTTACGATGTTATACTTTGGATTACAAACTGGTTGTTTGAAGATATCATTGTGTGAGCTTGGTAGACATGGTTGTCACATAAAGTTTGTCTGTGGCTTGACTATGGATTTAATGACAGAATACAGCATACATTATTTTGTTTTTTTGTGGAAAAGACAAGGGATCAGCATATAGTGTCAGGAGGTTCATCAGATGAATTGCACAGATGCTTCGTGCGTGCAGGGGTTCCTATAAGCAATAAAACTGATCGTGACCTGCAACTGCCCTGCATCTACCTGTACACTATGACGTTCTACGAATCAATCAATCATTACTGCTATACGCCCAGCAAGATCTACGAAATCTTTGTATAAGCGCATTCACACTGTTAATTATCATCATCATCATCACAATCAACAACAACAACAACAACAACAACAACAACATTAACGTATAATAATGGAGGCACACTACAGTTCTCCTGCCTGTTAAATACATCGCTTGTCAGTGCTTTTGCTATGGCCTATTGCCGTACATCTTTGCCAACTCGAGTGATTTCCCGCCAGATTCATATTTCTGATCAATACACCGTGTTGTTCGGGAGCGGTCGTGAATGTACGCATAAACAGTACTGATACCGCCCGAAGTGGGAATCGCTGACAAATTACAGAGATTCAACAGGTCTCCCTTCCTTGAGGAACTGACCATCTTGCCGCGGGACCCTTTCCTCTGCCTACTAAGGGAAAGGGAGGGGCGTTCGTGCGTGGCCTTCCTTATTTACGTTTCTGCATGCTACCTTTATTTTAACAAATAGCTCGACATAACAACGCACTGCTGCGCAAGCTAAGTTTCAATGTTATGCTGCAAGGCGTGCTAAGTGTGGGAAGGGGCTTCTGCCCTGCGCGCGTGTCAAATTGAATTGTTCAATTACGCACGCGCGATATAACCTCGAGCATCAATATGATAGCCAGTGTATAAAAGTATACTCAATCATAGAGCTGTCTATAACGTTATGGCAACTCTGAGAATCAAGACATAATAATAATAAAAAGCGCTCCATTTTTTTTATTTTGTCATGGTGTTCTCATGAAAAATAAAGTAAAGCTTCCTTCCGCGCTTCATTTATACGACGTTGTGAGAGTGCTGTTGCGATCACGATAAACAACAGTGCAGACAAAAGAAAAAGAACGAACCTGTATCCACTCTCCCGTGACTTCATTTCTCGTACTTCAGCGTGAGCGTGTACTTCTTGCTGTTATTTAATGTTTACGTATTAAGGCTATAGCTTGACGTGGCTAATCAGTTGGATAATTCGGCGTCAGGCGTCGTCGATCATACAGCGGCGTCTGACGACACGAATCGAACTAGAAGACTGATGACGTGGAATACATATATGGCAATGTATATATAAAAGTACAAACTAAAGGGAACCCAAACTCAGTCAGTGAATATGAACATAACGTGACATTATATTGAATTCAAGGTAAATTTGAAGTGAAATTAATGTAAATCAAAAATGATTTCGGAGGGAACTACAGGTTAACCAACAGTGAGCCAACGTGTAGTGTACTAAAGTGAATATAGAGTGATTCGAGTGAATTGAGTAGTGCCTCACAAAGTACGTGTATTCGCCTCTGTTTGCCTTAGAGCTAGCTAAAAGGACGGAGTAACGTTCCAAGTGACCATGGTCTGATGGTGGCTAGTGTGTTTTATCCGTCCGGCTTTTGCAGGCTCCGGCGACGAGGATGGCTACGGCGGCGACAGCGGCACCATGTCGCCCGTGCGCGCCTCGTCGTCGGAGGGCCAGCGGCCGGCGTCGTCGCCGCCCGACATCGCGCAGCGTCAGCACCGCCAGCAGCAGCCCACCTCCCCGCGGCGGCGAGCCGGCGCGGCCACCAAGCGGTTCGCGTGCGCCGTGTCCACCACTTTCCGCAAGCTGGGACACCGGCTGCACCACCGGCACAACAAGGCGTCGGCCGTCGGCGGTGGCGCTGGAAGCGCTTCGTCCTCCTACACTTCCGCGGCACCCGGAACGGGAAACAGCCTGCAGTACTCGGGTGCGTACTTGCTCATTGCTCGGCCTGCTTCCACGCTGTGCTTCATGTTTAGCTAAATGTCATTGTTCACCGCAGTGGCTGATAAAGGTTCAAGACTCGAGGAACGACAGCAAAAAAAAAAAAAAAAAAAAAAACAGCGTCGGGTCGGGTAGCACGAAATGAGGTGCGTAGGTTTCAGAACATTTAAAGAAGCCAAGGTACGAAAGTGAGAGAAATAAGTCACTTAAATGCAAGGAGCTTATTAGCCCGTGGTTGGCCAGTATGTTCCGGTAAAAGAAGAAAAAGCACAGAAAAATGAGGAGAAGGAGAGAAGTTTAAGAAGCGAAGGGAGTAAGGGTAATAGATTGGGCTAGTTCGTGTCTAATAAAAATTCGTGTTCACTAGCATGAAAACTTATCCTTTACTGTGACGGTAGTCGTGATGTAACTGTGCACCCTGTAGGTGCACCTGAACGCGTCTTTCAGCCTAAAACATGTCGCCATAATTCACATAGTAAATAATCCGGGCAGGTGTGTAAGATGAATACCAGACTCTTACTAGCGCCTTACCGGCAGTCTTTCTGAGAAGATTAACATTTCATCTCTGTCGAATGCACTTGAGAGAAGACATTCTTCGAACTAGATATTGAGCACATCAAAAGGAACGCGTTCACAAAACACGCATCAGTCTTTATTCCAAATCTTAAAACACTTTATCGCAGGCCACCAGTGTACTGCGGCGAAGGTAGCCTAAACGGCATTGTGCACAGGTTTTAATAAGTTTCACAGGTAAATAGCTTCAACAGAAAACAACTACGCCAAACTAATACCTATACTATTCTGCTCACTTTGTATATAAGTTATGGGCTTCGTTTTGTACAAGTTCACTTTAGCATTCGTGAGGGTGATTAGAGCGTTAAACGTTTAAAGTGCCAAATCCACTTCATCGCGTGGCCACCAGTGTACTGCGGCGAAGGTAGCCTAAACGGCATTGTGCACAGGTTTTAATAAGTTTCACAGGTAAATAGCTTCAACAGAAAACAACTACGCCAAACTAATACCTATACTATTCTGCTCACTTTGTATATAAGTTATGGGCTTCGTTTTGTACAAGTTCACTTTCGCATTCATGAGGGTGATTAGAGCGTCAAACGTTTAAAGTGCCAAATCCACTTCATCGCGTCTATGCTAAGTGTGTGGCGCGCTTTGAGGCATCGCCGCTCGTAGTTAGTCCTGCCACCTCCGGAAGGAAGTGTGTGCGCTGCTTCCTTCCGTCGTAGCCGTTCATCTCGTTTCTACAATTACCCGAAAGCAGGCGGGAGCGACAAAAAATATTTCGAATCGTCCGTGTTTCCGGAGACGCCATGTCTATTAAAATAAGTTTTATTTGGGGGGGGGGGGGCACATTCGCAGAAGATCGCCAGAAAACTCATTTTCTGAGAACTTCTTTAGTTTGGTGTTCCATACAACTTATATCGGCCGAAACACCATGACGGCTCTTCTTGTTTTCATGGGCTGGACACGAGGCGAAAAGCGAAACGAGAACAGCGGGATGGAACTCATAAATTTAGATGGTGGGTAAGAGCAGTATGGATAGGGCTCATCAGTTTTTCAAAAGCGTACGGACTGTACTAGGTGGCATCTAGGGGAATTCTTTTAACTAGTTTATTCATTAATTGAGACTTTGTACAAGCAAATTTACAATTGTAGTTATTGTACCGCACCACAGCCCTTGCTCCTTGAGTCTAAAAAGAGCAGAGCGCCTTTGCTGCTCTGGGAGCACAGGAATTTAGAGCTTGCTTATGGGACGCGTTCTTCGATTCTGCGTGCTGTGCCATCTGACGGTGGATTCCTGCTTCTTTCTGACGTTCTGTCGTTGACCCGCGAGGTATTTGCAGTGCACACACAGAGGACTGCCAGATGACCGCGGGCTCTCTTATATGAAGCCACTGAATACAAGTTTTTTTTTCTTTCTTTCTTTCTTTCTTTCTTTCTTTCTTTCTTTCTTTCTTTCTTTCCTTCTTTCTTTCTTTCTTTCTTTCTTTCTTTCTTTATTTCATCCTTTCTTTCTTATGAAGCCACTGAATGCAAGTTTTCTTTCTTTCTTTCTTTCTTTTTCTTTCTTTATTTCATCCTTTCTTTCTTATGAAGCCACTGAATGCAAGTTTTCTTTCTTTTTTCTTTCTTTCTTTTTCTTTTTTTCTTTCTTTCTTTCTTTCTTTTTTTCTTTCTTTCTTTCTTTCCATGCGATGACCTAGCGCGCCAGTGTCAGCCGCAATCCGAATGACTTCTTTTATTTGCACAGCCCCTTCGTAGTTGCACGGTCGATGCGCATGTATATCGTACGGGTGTCAGAACACGCGTATGCATGTTATGCTTTCTGTCCCCTACGTGTACTACGCATTTTCTTTCTTCTTCTTCTGGGCGTTATTCTTCTCCGATCGCGCCGATGCTTCGAGTGGTGAGCAGCGGACAAAAGGATACGACATTCATCGACGACGTGCGTCCCGCATTTCCCGAGGCGGAAGTGCTGAAAGTGCACCCCGCGGAAAACAAGGGCCCCGTCGATCGCTTTCCACGCGAGAGCGAGCGGTCTTTACCGTACAGCCGTCTCCGCGTAGCGTTTCACTCTTTGCGCGCTTTACTTCCCTTGTAACAGCGCTGATATGACACACGCGCACCGTGTTCTTTCGCCCGCCTATATAAATATCACGAAAACACGCACGCACGCACGCACGCACACACGCACACACACACACGCACACATACGCACGCACGCAAACACACACACACACGCACACATACGCACGCACGCAAACACACACACACGCGCACACACACACGCACACACACGCACGCACATGCACACACACACGCACACACACACACACACACACACACACACACACACACACACACACACACACACACACACACACACACACACATCCTGTGTTTCCGTACGGCTTCGTCGTCTCGGTAAAACTGAAATTATGTCCCCCAAAGTGACCTTTTGTTTAAACAAAAGGCGGCGCATCCTCTTGCATTTCGTATGCATAAAACGTTTACTGGGGTTTAGAAGGGACCTCTTTGTCGGCAGTACTACGGAAGAGGTGTCCACTTGGATTTTGCAAATAGAATCGTAAAGACAGCAGTTTACAAAGATGGCAGTATTTTTTTTTTCTTTTCCACGGTAGTTCGTAGCGGATTCGCTGTGCTCGAATGCGCGCATCGTAAATGCTCACACGATCACTTGGTTTACTTAGTTCCTTCGGAGAGCGTGTTTGCGTGCCCTGCGTCTATAAGGATCGCGTGTCATTCGAAGAGAGAAAGGCGCGCCCCGAGGTTGATACGCTTGACGTGTCGGCAAACACTGTAAAACAAAACTAAGCGTGTGCGTGTGTGGCAGGGAGTATAGCTGACTTTCGTGCATGTATCTGCGTCAGCAACCAAAATTGTCCAAACACAAACGTTACGCGAACGTAATATGATGTACGAGATTATATTCTCTCCACCCATCTCCCATGGGAATGATTTATGTCGTGACGATCACTTATTCAAGAAGTCAAGAAATCAAGAAGAAGAAATGGACTTGGGCAGGGCATGTAGCGCGTAGACAGGATAACCGCTGGTCATTAGGGGTAACTGACTCGATTCCCAGAGAAAGGAAGCGGGTTAGGGGGAGACAGAAGATTAGGTGGGCAGATGAGATTAAGAAGTTTGCGGGTATAAATTGGCAGCTGCAAACACAGGACCGGGTTAACTGGTGGAACATGGGAGAGGCCTTTGTTCTGCAGTGGACGTAGTCAGGCTGATGATGATAATGATGATGATGATGATGATCACTTATTGCCTGTTTATGCTTACGTTTGTTTGCTAGAACAGAATCGAACAGAGCTTAGTATGGCAGGATGACAGAGAGCGCCAACAGAGAGTCGACTCTTTGAGACGTGATTCGATTCGCTTCTAGTTCCAGCACCTTTATTTACTTGCTTCTTTCTTTGATTTTGTTTCCGTCTTTGTGTGCAGGCGTGATTAATTAATTAATAATAAGTAATTGTGTGAGTGAGTGAGTGGGAGTTCACAACTTTTTGTCGACAAACTCATATACGTTCGCATTGGTGCAGGCTTTCCGATAACTGAGCATCTATCACAACTCGTGTGCGACAACAGAGACGAAAGCAGGTATAGGTTAACTGGAACTGAAACATCTGGCTCACTACTCTGCGTGAACTATATAGAGACAAGGTGATAAGAGAAGACGGAAGGAAATCTTTGTGAGATTTTAACGCTCGTCGGACTCTCCGAGTCCGACGAGCGTTAAAACAGCTTGGTGTTATGCAGTCGTGAGTGTGGTTGGCGACACTTTTATTTCTGTATGTCATTTGGAGGACTGAATGATGCCGATATTACAAGGGTACCGACGGATGTACAAAAAAGTTTTATGGCGCTTTGTAATAGCATCGCGAAATCGCATATAGACGCTGTTGTCATCTCTCGACACCAATGGGGGCGTACGGACGTCATTGAGATGTGACTATTACAGTTTCGTTCAACGCACTTTGACATTTCATTGTGGTCTGGAATACACCATCAGAACATCTTGAACAGGAGCCACCTCGTGATATTTTTTTCTTACTTTTCGTTTTGCGTAGGATTAGTTTTGACTTCATTGAGGTGCCTGCCTTGGAGACTTGAGCAAAATAGGCAAGTTTGTTTCACGGAGTTTGCGCCGTCTGAACACTCAGGATTAATATCATTGTGTTATTAACATGCTTGCTTGTTTTGCAATGCAGGTAGTTTTTAAAACTGTATTCGAGTGATCCTGTTCATCGCTAGTTCTTAGTCCTTCACCCTTACGTCTCCCCTGCCGATGACAGCTACTTTTTAACGCTCACGCGTTAACATTACCCATGTGTGTTTTCGCCATTCCTGGGTAGATAATAAGTGTGGATAACCGGTGGCACATACCCGCACATCAGTCACAAATCCGCCCGTGGGTATGTGCCACTGTTTGGCGGAATGTGTTTGACGATGTACGGCATGGGATTGTGACATTATTAGGGGCGAAGCTCCTCTAATACCGGTGTCACACGGGCGTTTCGAAGGTCACTGAACTGACCTTCGACTCAACTGACAAGGACGAGCTGCCACACGGGCGATTTCGAAGGCCATCGAGCCAATAGTCTGTCGAGTCAACGGAGCCCCCCGCATCTCCGTTGAAACTTCAATGGCTACTGAGCGACGGAAGCGGAAAAAGCACAAACATGCACTCTCGTTTCCAGTGTGCAACGTGTAAACGCAAACCGCACTGCACAAACACAAGCACAAAATGGCAGCCACACCTTGGTGACACCTGCTCATGCAGTTACAACATTGCCACAGTTTCGCTGCTTAACAACCTAAAAACAGACCATGCATTATTAAGTATGTATAAACATTTTTTTTGAAATGTTTATACAAAAACAACAGAGGCATGTGCGCTTTTAGGTGCATTTATAGGATTTCATTTACAAAAACATGAAAACAAAACTATAGATTTGCAGCGCCACCCAATTTTAGCGAGGAATACCTTATAACCACTCAACGGCCGTTGAAAATTGCCGTGTAGCAGTGCGACAACTCTATCGAGCAGATGGAGCTGTGGCATTTCGACGGCCGTCGACTCGATGGTTTTTAGAGTGTCCGTGTGACACCAGTATAAGAGAAGAGGGAAAAAAAGGAAGACAGTATTTATAGAAGAGTATATTTGACGGCGCTGTCCCATAGAAGTAAATACAAACTGCAGTTGAGTGAGGTTATTCTAGATGGCGCTGTACCGCTACTCTCCGATTGGCTGCTGCGTGGGCTGTGCGTGGGTGCGCGAGGAAGGAGTGCCTCCCTCAGTCTCCTGAATAGTCGCCGAATAGTCGCAGATCGTTGGTGGCGCATGGACGAAGCAGAGCGACGGGCGCGTTGAAGACGCTTGCGCATGGCTGGCGTCCTTGGCTCGCGTCTCGTCAGTGTTACCCTCGTGCTGTCTGCATTCTCGAACGCGATCGTATGTATGTACGGACAGACACACGGACGGATGGATGAATGCACGTACGGATGGATAGACAGACGGACGGACGGACGCACAGATAGATAGACAGACGGACGGACGGATGGACGCAAGGTGAATGGGTGGACTCACGGACCAACACACAGACGGACCGAAGCACAGATGGACGTATGGACGCTTCGCCTCACTCATCATCATTCACTCCGTGAATATGCTGTGAGGTTTTTTTTTCATTTTTGATCAGCGCGCCATATTCGTCAAACCATCTTACCCTCCCATGCTAATTTTGGTTCACGCCAAGTTAAGGGGGGTGATCACGAGAGCATCCAGACGTTAGCGCCTAGATAGATAGATAGATAGATAGATAGATAGATAGATAGATAGATAGATAGATAGATAGATAGATAGATAGATAGATAGATAGATAGATAGATAGATAGATAGATACCAAAAGTGCTTGCACTACGCATGTCGTCTAAGGGCTCCACATGCTACTGGGAGGTCGTACTATAACAAGAACGATGAATGTTATTACGCATGGAGATTGTTCAGGACATCAAGGCTCAGGACCGCTGTAGTATTCGCTTCGGTACGCTAAGAGATAGTTCTTTTTATGAGGCAGAATTTAAGTTTACGTCAGGGTCGCAGTTTGGCCAAAGGGCTATATTGACGTGCCGACCAACGTTGCTGGGTAGGGTTAACTTAACCTAACGTGATTTATAACTCTGCTGTTGGAGGCGAGCTCTAACAGGATGCGCGGGGAACTGAGGAAAGACTAATAAGGGCAGAGCGTCGCTCCGAGTACGGAGCGTTTTTTATTGCCGCAGCGCCTGCGGCAATGATCTAATCTAAAATCGACAGTGCTGAGCCTTTCCTTTCAATCTCTGTAAAAAAGTAAGAAATGAAGAACGAAAACTGTGGGGATGGAGCTTTTTAGGTGGCTGCCAGTTTTATTGGTGGGACCCGTGGCTCTCAGTGTAGGTTTAGCGTTCGCAGCAATCTGCAGAGTTGAGCATGAGTAGGCGTAGTCGTTTCCCGGTTACGACGGCCGCATTTTAATGAGGGCTTGCGAGCCAAAACACCCGTGTACTGAGCTTTACGCGTAAATAACTTAGAGATTTTTTTATTGAAGGTCCCACGCTTGGCTGCTGAGCTTTTAAGGCGCGAAGTTCCGTGTTTATTACAGCGAAAGTTTGAAGCATGTGTAGGGTTAAAAGGAGTACTTGGTGAATCTTTGGCGCCAGGATCGTTAGAGAGAGAGTATGTGTGGGAGAGAGATAGGCGTTCATGCTAACTTTAGTGACATGCTAAGGGTGTTAGCTGCTGATCACGTGGCTTATTTCTCTTCGGGCGTTAAGTTATGATTATGGCATATGAATGATCACATAGATAGATGAGAAGCAAATACTGCGCTATTCCGTGTAACTGGCCAACATTCTCACAAGGTGTCGTTAGGGGCTGTCGATGCATGTTTTGTATGGATTTAGAAGTTATGCATGGTTATACAACTTTCATATGGTTTTCCATCATGTACCGTCCTTTAAATGACAAAGTTGGACGGTACCGCCGTGCTTTACTTTTGAAAACGACTGGCTTGCACGAGCCTCTTTGACTGTGTACCGCTGTCCGCACACCATTCCTTCACACATTCATCGGTTGCCTTCAAGCAGTCTCCTCTATTTATTTCGTTGTTTCCCTCTGTCCAAGTCAGATTGCAGGTCTGATACCTTACTCGTGAATGTATACCCGCCTTCTATTCTTTCTCGCACTCTGTCGCTTCGCCAAAAAATGTTTTAAAAGCGGACACAGGCCCGTATTCGCAGAGAAGCCTTACTTTAAGCTATTAAATGAGGAGCATTTCTTAGCGAACTTTGGCGACTTTGAGCGTATCTATCTATCTATCTATCTATCTATCTATCTATCTATCTATCTATCTATCTATCTATCTATCTATCTATCTATCTATCTGTCTGTCTGTCTGTCTGTCTGTCTGTCTGTCTGTCTGTCTGTCTGTCTGTCTGTCTGTCTGTCTGTCTGTCTGTGTGTCTGTGTGTCTGTGTGTCTGTGTGTCTGTGTGTCTGTGTGTCTGTGTGTCTATCTATCTATCTATCTATCTATCTATCTATCTATCTATCTATCTATCTATCTATCTATCTATCTATCTATCTATCTATCTATCTATCTATCTATCTATCTATCTACGACCTTTAACTCTCCTGGCTGCGTGGATGGTTGGATCGATACCAAAATTGGTATGACATAACATGACTGTATGACGAACATAACTGAATAGTCATACCATGATAATCATGATGTGTAGTCATGAATGTCATGATTTACAAGTCATGGTCTCGCTGCTCTTGAGTGGTTTCGTTCACATGAAAGCGCGAAACTGGTGTGGTATGACATGACTGCCTGGTGAACATAAGTGACAGGCCCTAACGTGAAAATCATGGCATGCAGTTCATCTAAGTCATGAGTACATGCCATTATATGTGGGTTTTAACGTCCAAAAACCACCATATTATAATGAGAGACGCCATACTGAAGGGCTCCGGACTTTAACGTGCACCCAAATCTGAGCAGACGAGCCTACAGCATTTTCGCCTTCATCGAAAACGCAGCTGCCGCAGCCTGCGGGTCAGCAGCCGAGTGCTTTAGCCACTAGAGCACCGCGGCGGGGCGTGACTACACGCTATACGCTCATGGTGCGCTCGCGGTCGTTTCCCTACCTTCACACATAGCGAATTCGGTATTACGTAATGTGAATAGATGACGAAGGTATATGACGGGTGCTGACTGACACGATAATGTAGACATGCGTGTCATGTAAGAACATGACTACATGCCACGCTCATGATGCGCTCGCGGCCGTTTCCCTAGCTTCGCATATACCAAATTTGGTATTCCGTGACGTTAATGGACGACGAAGGTAGATGACACGTCCAGACATAATAATCATGATATGCATGAAACGTGAAATATGACTACATGCTACGCTCATAGCGCGTTCGCGGTCGTGTCGCTACGTTCACATATACCAATTGGTATTTCGTGACGTGAACGGACGACGAACAAAAATGGCAGGCACAAACATGATAGTCATGACATGGAAATCATGTACGGCATAATTTACATGCCTACCACTGTTGGTGATGGAATCGCAAACGTTAGTGGTGCCGTCTTTACGCGAGTATAAGAAGCATACTTGCATCTTATGTAGATACCCGAGTGCGCATGGCATTTATACTTGTGTTTACTGTGTACTACATCCATGTGCCTCGTAACGTTGTGCTAATTTTAAAGTGACATATAAACCGCCTTCATTCGTGCTTCGCATATCATTGATTCCCACTGTACGTGTGATCTGCCAATTTTTTTTTTCGTTGGAGAATATTTCAGCCACGATGATGGACGTATCATTATCAAAGCATGTAGACCGGAGGGAAAACGAACTTGCAAAAAAAAAACCGTTCTGTGTATTCGATAAAAAATCATTTGGTCTGGAATGTTCGTGGTTAAACGTAAATAAAGAGTCTTAGTAAATTATAGAAAAGAACATTAAAATAAAATGCGTTCCGGCTCCTGTACTGGGGCATTGTTATTTTTGTATTCGTGCAAGCGTCTTCCTTCACCTTCGCCCAGAAGTTTTTCAGGAACTCGGCCCGTGATGTTACATCGTGGGAATCTCCCGCGACGAGGGTGCGAAATCGTCTGCTCTTAAAAGGGCACGCCGCCCTCTGGGCCATTGGTGCTGATGCGCGCAGGTCGCCTAAGCATGAGCCACCCGGACGTGTCGTCTTCGGACATCGCCGGGCTGGCTCGGGACTCCGCGGCGTCGACTCCGTGCCAACGGGCCGTGCCCGGCCGGGAGCAGGCCTCGTACTCGGACACCACGCTTCTGAGGAGCAGGCGGAGGCTGCAGCAACAGGGAGTCTTGGTGGACGAAGACACTTCGCTGGACGTCACCGCCACCGCGCCAGCGCTGATGCAGACCGCGCCGCCGGCAACTCCGCCGGCGTTGCTGGCCAGTGGTCTCCTAGCGGCGACCGAGGGCGGAGAGGAAGTCTTCCCACTCAAGACCCGCAAGTGAGCGTATGCAAATTCGTTCCAGCACTTGTGGCGTCCCATTTAGAGAGGTTTAGATATCGCGCACTGAAAGGTTGTGGTGCTGAAACCACCAGGACTATACAGAAGGACGCGAACCGGCGCACGAAAGAACGCAAGCCCAGCTCAATGCTTTGGAGTGGAAAAGTTTTTTTTTGACATACCCAAGACCATTTGTTGACGCGAAATGTAATTGATTGATTTGTGGGGTTTAACGTCCCAAAACCACCATATGATTATGAGAGACGCCGTCGTGGAGGGCTCCGGAAATTTTGACCACCTGGGGTTCTTTAACGTGCACCCAAATCTGAGCACACGGGCCTCGACATTTCCGCCTCCATCGGAAATGCAGCCGCCGCAGCCGGGATTTGAACCCGCGACCTGCGGGTCAGCAGCCGAGTACCTTAGCCACTAGACCACCGCGGCGGGGCACGCGAAATGTAATACACATTATCATCGCCTGATTCGGACCATAACATCTTTTTGTTCTGCCTGTTTCTTTTTATGCCCGTTCAATTGGGATATCGCCTATTTCGCCATCTGTTCATCTTTACAACGATAAGGTAACTCAACGGACAGAGTTCTATAAGAAGGAAGTATGTGCAAATTGTAAACTTTGTACTGAGTTCCAATTTTCTGTTGACGAATTATTGTGGCGAACTCCCTTCTAATTATGCATTCATGCACGTTTGTAATATTTAGTCGCATCGTTCTTACTGTTTTGGTGCAGCGCTTTTATCCTGAGTGAGATACTGGCTTTAAAGCAGAAAAAAAAATCTTCTGTACAGGCACATGACTGCTACGTAAAGGCAAATTTCCATCATTTGCAAACTCACATGGTTAGAATACGGAATGCATGAGACCGCATCTTCTTTGTTTCTTTCTTCTCCTATATCCCGTTTTATTTAAAAGATGCAGGGAAGAGACGGAGGGACATAGTTGCAGGCACACTTACTCCTTGCACTCGCTTTTCTGCTATGACGCATTCTCTCGATGTCAGTGGCCGTGCTCACCTTGTTCTCTACATGCGAGTCTTTCTTCGTTTTCGCCCTCAGGACGGAACCCTCGTCCGGCGTGGTGTTGTACAAGCTGGATGTGCATCTTCGGTGCGGCAAGAACCTGGTCGCCAAGGACGCCTGCGGTTAGTGGCCGCCGCTCCTGCACTGCCCGTCCGGTTTCGTTTCGCTCTCTCTCGTCCGTCTAAACAACACACACGCCACACCTCCCTCACTACTTATTGCCTTCCTGGACCTCGCTTGATGTGCAAGACTACGGAGCTTTATGTTCTGCATCGGGAGCGCGCTTTAGTTCGTCTGTTTCGTCAAAATCTTCGTGAGAATTCGCCTCCTCGGAAGATAGCTCTACGAACACGTTCCGATTTATTTTCTATCAATGGCTTACTCGATGAAGTGGCGGTGGGTAGTTGGGAGTTCAAATAACCAGTCTTTGAAGCTGACCTCGCAATGAATGCACGAAGATTGTTACACACGTAACCTTCAGACAGTCACGGTGAAAAGTGCTGTCAACAACAACAACAACAACAACAACAACAACAACAACAACAACAACAACAACAACAACAACAACAACAACAACAACAACAACAACAACAACAACAATAACAATAACAATAACAATAACAACAATAACAACAATAACAACAATAACAACAACAACAACAACAACAACAACAACAATAATAACAACAACAACAACAACAACAACAATAACAACAACAATAATAACAACAATAATAACAACAATAACAACAACAATAACAACAACAATAACAACAACAATAACAACAACAATAACAACAACAACAACAACAATAACAACAACAATAACAACAACAATAACAACAACAACAACAATAACAATAACAATAACAACAACAACAACAACAACAACAACAACAACAACAACAACAACAACAACAACAACAACAACAACAACAACAACAACAATAACAATAACAATAACAATAACAATAACAATAATAACAATAACAATAACAATAACAATAACAATAACAATAATAATAACAATAACAATAATAATAATAATAACAATAATAATAATAATAACGCGTTCTATCTCCCACGCGTTAGGTACAGTACGGAGACAGAAAGGTTATGCTGCTAATGCCTTTTAAATGTGGGAAAGCGTCGAATACAAAGAACAAAGATTAGAATAACTGAGTGCCGTAGCCACCGTTTCAATACCCTAAGAAGCACATAATGCAGTGAATTTCACACTAAATCACGCTTAGGAAAAGGAGCAGGAAAGCAGTGAAGTGCACAAAATACAGGTCAGGGAGGACTGAGGAAGCGAAAAAACGATAAACGCAAGTGCTGTTACCAACTTTGTTCGTTGGTCACAAAACAGATGCATGAGATAACTTGTACGTCAAACATGGCGTCAGAAACACGTGTCATGTAGATATACACGATGACGAGTGCTCATGTCAAGCCCACCACGGTGGTCAAGTGGCACCCGTCTGCTAACCCGCAGGTCGCGGGATCGAAGCCCGGCCGGGGTGGCGGTATTTTCGATGGAGGCGAAAATGTTTGACGCCCGTGCACGTTAAAAAACTGCAGGTAGTCAAAATATCAGGAGCATTACACTATACGGTGTCTCTCATAATCATATGGTGGTTTTGGGACGTTATACCCCAACAATTACGTTAGTATATTAAGCGCCTAATATCCGCCGTTCTTTCGCTTTCTCAGTCCTCCATGACTTGCATTTCCTCAGTTCAGTGCTTGGCGCAGCTCATCTTCACCACAAAGACGTGGCCAGAAGTGACCTCGGCAAGCCCATTGTGACGCCTTGTTCACATCCGGGAGAAATGGAGTGTGGTATAGCGGGAGCCGAGGGTGACGTGGAAGTTGGATGCATAAGCGCAGTATACGGGCACTGCATTGGCGTTCTGCACCGTAACTGCAGGCACGAGCGACCCGTACGTGAAGTTCAAGCAGGGCGGCCGGCAGGTGTACCGCAGCCGCACGGTGTCCCGCTCGCTGGACCCGTACTGGGATGAGTGCTTCACGGTGGCCGTGCGAGACCTCTGGGACCCGCTGGTGGTGCGCGTCTTCGACTACGACTTCGGCCTCCAGGACGACTTCATGGGTGCAGCCACCGTCGAGCTGCACACGTTGGAAATAGACAGGTATATACGCGCACTTCGCTTACCTCATGCGACTACGTTTGTCTGTAATTCACCTACTTGCTTGAGGACAGACGCATTTACAAAAAAAAAAAAGAGTGAATATATTTTGTCACTTTTTTATGGGCTGCTCATACGTCTGGGACTTTCTCGTTTCCTTACGAAAGCGAAAGAAATTTGTGGGGCTGGTGTTTTACTCTAATTAGCCACTGCTTTAATAGCTATACCGCGTCCCGGTCATATCGCGCGCATGGCAGGCACTACCGCAGCGTAGCCAACCTAGTGAACATCCCGTCTGTCTTATACATATTTATTCTTATTCCCATTCTCTTCCCCTCAGTGTAGGTTAGTTAGACCAAACAATTTTCTTTCGCTTACCCTTTCTACCTTTGCCTCACTTGCCTCTCTCTTTCCTCTTCCCACGCTCGCATCGCTCATCGGCATGCAGGCGTTTTTGCATCCTCCACTATTTGAGAACATTCTTGTATATTGTTTATCGTTCGTCCTCCGCAAACAATGACGGGGACTGCCTTTTATCATACTAAAGCGATTCTTAAAGAGAAAAGAAGAGAAAAGTGAGCCCCGTAACTGTCTGCATCAAAGTGCGACACCTCAGCATGCAGTAAGTAGCTCACGAGGGATGGGGGTAAGGAGGGATTAAAAAGATAGGGGTAAAAGTAGAGAGAGAGAGAGAGAGAGAGAGAGAGAGAGAGAGAGAGAGATGCGCAAGGTCAGCGAGCGACGACATAAGAGAGATAGGAAAGATGAAACGCGGTCACAGGAGTCCGGGGACGGGGCACCACTTGCGACATGGCGTAGGGCTAATCCAGTCGTCCAGCGCTGCGCTGTTGTCGGAGATCGCGAGGGCACAACCGGTCGGCGCGGCATCCAGCGGATCAGCCGCAACATTCAGAACGACGGAGTTCGCCGTTTTTCGTATACCCTCTTCTTCCTACCGACGTAAGGTTGCGCGCAGTTTAAGTTTTTACACTCCTTATTCCCTACTTCCTGTCTTCTTTTTTTTTTCCTGCCGCTGCGGTGGTCGCGGTGAAGCGGATGCAGCTCGACTTCCTTTTCCGGCAACAGATAGAAGTGCGGTCGTTGCCGTCATCCTCTCACACCTAAACCGCACGCACGCACACAGACGAGCTTACAAATGCACTCGGCCTAAGCCTCCACAATGTTTCTTCGTTGTTATTTATCTCTTTGTTGGGGTAATTATGTGCTCTGTGAGCCAATCGCACTGTCTTTAGTGCTGAGCTCCAGGACATAAAGTAACTAATGAGTGAGTAGAGAGAAGATTAGGTACTCGCGGTGTTAATTTATTTCCAACATTATCAAGACAATCTAAACGTGCGAAAAAAAAATACTTTTTTCTTTGGCTTTAGTACAATTGTGGAACTACAACAATGGAGGAATCAAGGCCGGATGTTAGAAGTCTTAAACATGTGTTCCTGTCAACATCTATAAAAAAATAGGAGCTTTATCTGTCCCTGTGTAAGCGTTTTTGCAACATTTGAGAAGCTAATTGTGCCTTCGCACATTTGAAGTACTAAATATAGTGCTACAGTGTAGTTGAACTAACAACTGCAGGTAAGCTTAAAAAAAACAGTATGAGTACGTGCTTTACTTCAGTTCACACTCGTTATTTGTTTAGCGCATGTGCGTATGTCGGCAGTGTGCACACAATTCTGTGCTCCTGCTTAAAAGTGTTTGCTCAACTTATTGTGTGTTACTTCTGCTTTACCACGTGCAGCGTTGTCATTTCCTCAATTTGGCAAGCAATTGCTGAACTTAGTGTTCTTTCACTGTATTCGTTACACCTCTGTGGTGAGCCACTGTTGGGTTGTGGCAATAATTCAAATGAAGTATACAAATGAAATCGAGGGACGTGGAAGTAAAAAATATGTTTTGTTACTTTACTTTTACACTTCAGTTAAAACGACCAATAATGTGCCCCTTGCTTTTTATGAGTTTATTTTGCCATTATACGGTTGCGAAGAAACTATAGGTATACATCTGCGCTGCGCGACATGCAGGTCGGAACTAATGCAATGACCCGCGCGAACATTAAGCAGCATTTTGACGATTTAGTGTCGTGCATAAAACAATCATGTGGCATTTGGTTCTTTGTGAGTATTTAAAAAATGCCTAGATATACAACTTGCTTACGAGAGGCCCGCGTTGTCAAACGACGTGCCTTGGATAAGCGTTGACTACAATATGCGGCATGTGGCATCTTGTGAGGCAGCCTCGGGTGGTGAAAGCCGTTTAAGTGCACCAACAACGCGCACGCAAGATGAGATAAAGCACCTAAAGTTCCCAGGCCTTAGCAGGGACGCGTGTTGAAAGCTTCACGAAATCGAACTTTTTACTTACTTTTAATTTTTTTTTACTTTTTACTTACTTATAGGTCTTACTTTTTTCCGCCAACACTACGTGACCTTGGCGTCACTTCCGATTATTTTTAGCCAGACTTCCGAACTTCTAGCTTTGCCTACGACGCAGTTGCAATCGCAAGAGGTGAGTACGCTTGATTACATTTCCCCTAGAGAGACTATACCGTTCCAAAGTCGTGGTCGTATAGCCAGTGCGCTTGTGGTGCCGTCTATTGTATGTGAGACCAGTGATGCATCGGTTGCGCCCATGTCAAGTGGTTTGGTAGGCAAGAAGACAACAGCTAACTCCCGCGAGCTCAATTCCCGATCCGCCAGACGTGTGGACTGTTCTGGCGTCACAAAAATTCAGCATAGTTCCGTGCAGTGTTGTTACTAGTCTCATAGCTGTCATTAGAAATGCTAATGCGAAACACTCTATGTGGAAAAGTAAACTGCGGTTCGATAAGCAGTTCTTGCTGTCGTATGTCCCTTCTTCCTACGCCCTGTTGTCTGCACTGTTCTCCCAGCAAGTCAGCAGCCCAAGCGCGCACACGAAGAGATGTAACACTTTCCGAACTAAAATTGATAAGTATTTATAAAGTGGGGCGCATAAAAGTGGGACCAACGTAAAACGGGACGCATAAAATTTCTTACAAAACTGTACACTGAAGATTGAATATACACCAAAACAGTGTTTCCAAAAAGAAGGATCCGCCACCCCCGGCGGTTCCGCAAAACTTATGCTTGAAAGAAAAAAAAATATTACTATGCTTTTTATGAGGCACAGTATGACCATTCACAGTAACCCATCTGAACTTTTTGGTATGCTGCGCCGCATATCAGGCACGCCTGCCTTGCGGTGCAGGTCACCTATGTTTCCCTTTTTTCAGGAGATCGCTGTAGAACCTTTGCAGTGGTTTTCCACGGCATGTGCACGTGAGCATTTTTTTTCATGTTTGCATATTTGAAGAGCAAACGTACCTAGAAACAAGTTCAATGTGGCTGCAGTCCGCACAACTTATTGACAAGCTGTTGAAATCGAAGTGGTGCTGCAATTTCGTTTTATCATTCATCGCTATAGGGAGAAACAAAAGGTGCCTGTTTCATGCTGCGTGTTGCGTTAATTTCTAACCCCTGCTTTTTCTCTGTGAAAAGGGTCCCAAGTACCTACGCCTGGTGCACAAGGGGTCCCCGAGTTATTCATGGCCGAGAACCACTGCACTAAAACATTAACTATTTTTGTAAAAAGCACACAGCGTACGTGAAGGCGACCTTATGTGCTCTTATTGTGCTGCAACTCTCTAATGTTGGCTGGCACTGGCTACAGTAGGTTGACTCGTGGGTGGTGTTTTGCTATCCTCTACTTTAACGTTGTGGTTAGGGATTGTGCGTGTGCTGCTACGACTATGCCTCACCACATTAAGTGATTCTTCGCATACTGCGACATTTCCCATCAATGGAAATGAGCCGCAAGCAACTGCTTACTACGAGGTCGGCGTTACGCAGTATTACGCTTAAGTGGGAATATCAATCGAGGAAACGAGACTTTCGCGACGGCACATGTCACGTGCTCTCGTGGCGTTTCGCTACGGACGTCGGTTCGGAATTCCTCGTCGGGCGCACTCTTGCGTGCGTCGAGCATTTTTGTTTTGCCCGAAACCTTCCTTGTTCGTCGTGATCACGTGAAACAGAGTGAAAGTATGGATGCGGGAAAGTGCCCGTTGTTATTGTTGTGCCCCAGGCCGACGGACATCTTGCTCAACCTGACCGAGTCCGGCAAGGCGGAAGACGCGAACGCCAAGGATCTTGGCTACATCGTGCTCACCGTCACGCTGCTACCGGCATCGGCCCGTGACGACGTCGAACAACAGGTGAGCGGCTGGCGATCATATACTGTACACGTCACGTCGAGGACCTTGTGGCAGAGCGTAACTGTTATGCAGTGCGCGTCCGTGTGATCCGTGGCTCGAAGCTGCACCCGCTTCACCGTGGCGGCAGCGATACATTTTTTTAGGGGCGAAGCTCCATATAGCGGCACCCATTCGTCCCTCGTAGCCGTTGTAGTAGTCGTAGTGTGTGACCAGTATTACATTTCGACCTCCAAGGTGGTGCCGGTGAGAGATTTCTCCTGTGCGTTGTTGAACAATAAAAGATAGTGCTCAATGTACATGCCAATGGCTGCTAAGGGGGAATGAGAAACAGGAGCACTCGGCTTTTAGTTAACACGCACGCTGCGAATTTTTTATTGTTCAATAACGCACAGAAGACAAGAAAGGGTTGCTACGTTATACTTGCTGGGCGCAACCTCCGAGGTTTTAGAAAGGTTTAGCGAGCGTTGGGCCGCAGTGCCATGAATACAGTGAACTAGAGTGGTGTTTTCCGTCTGCAACCACTCGAAAACGTTACTATCAGCTTCAAGAAGTTCCGAGGAACGCCTGGGCACCACTCAAGAGGATTTCTTGCCACTTGGAGGTGCCAAAGGACTTCAGAAAGCTCGTCACCCCTAGGACGCTCACCAAACGCTGACCTGGGGAGCCGCCGGCAGCTGCACCGACGCTGGGGACGCCCGCGTCGGAGCTTCATCCAGCTATGGCTCTCAACGCGGCGACCGACCAACAATACCACCTCCTAGACCAGGATGGTACAGCAGACGACCAAATGGATCAACTCCAGGGCGACCACGATACGGTGAGCCGAGACGCTATCGGCGCTCAATCGCATGCAGAAGAGGACGCTAGCTGGCAGGCAGCGAAATCCACCAAAAAACGCAAGCAAGAGGCACTGGAGCGGAGGCGCGGCAGCGCAGGGCTCCAGGACCAAGTTAAGACAGGCACGCCAACATTCAAGAAATTGCCAAAGCTACCGCCGTTGCCGAAGGACGATTACAAGATCGTCATTCGTCCAAACCAGGGCCTCCCGCTGAGAAACATTCTGACTCCTACGCTTGCGCAAGCAATCATCGAGGCATGCCAAGCTGGCATCAGAGATGACCATTTCATCCTTAGAATCAACCCAGGGTCAAACATAGCGATTCTGTCGACCAAATATGAGGAAGTGGCGGACAAAGTGCGTCTGATACGCGCCCTTGTGCTTAACGGCAGGGCTCACGCTGTCCGTGCCTACGCCGCAAATGGAGACGATACTCTGAGAGGGGTGATTCACGGCGTACCGATGAACACCTCAACCGAAACTCTCATGGCGCACCTACGTGTCAGAACGCACGGTGTGGAGATCATCACTGCCAGAATGATAGGCACAACGAAAAGCGCAGCCATTACATTTTTCGGTCCAACGCTACCTCGTACCGTCTACTATTACGGGGGTGAACTCCGCTGCTACCCCTTCCGACCTACGATTCAAGTCTGCAAGGTCTGCCGAGAAAAAGGACACCGCGCGGACGTTTGCCCGCATCCGGATCGCCCCATTTGCCGGCTGTGCGGACTGACTAATCCAACGGATGGAATCCCTGTTCTATTAGTTGCGCCTCGTGCGGGGAGGCTCACCCCACAGGAGATCCAACTTGCAAAAAAGACTTAAGCCGCCGAAGCCTAAACAGCCGCAAGTACAAGCAGGCTACAGTGATAAGCTTCAACAGGGCACTAGCAACGACCCGCCGAGGACCAAGAATCTCCGCTGGTTCTCCTCCGAAGAGGAAGAAAACGCCTACAAGTCAGCCGATGACAAGCACAGTTCCCGGTCGCATTCACGGTCCCCGGGCAGAAAGCCGCACTCGCCATCCAAGAAGAGCGCGCCAGCACCGACTCAGCAGAACCTCCACCGCGGTCCTCCAGGAGGGGGAGCCAAAGGCAACGGCGGGGATCAAGGATGCACCCAACAGGCATCATCACTTCCGGTAAGCTGGGCGGAAGCCGTGGCTCCCAAGTCTGCATGTACTCCCCCCATCACACAAAACGTACACTATCAAGCAGTAATCACTGAAAACAAACAGCTTAAGCAACGCCTTGACAAATACGAGAACAAAATAATGTGGCTCGAAAAACAGCTGGCCCAATTAATGGGAGCCACCCCGAAAACTACAGTCCAGGCCTCTCAAAATCTAACTAGCCACCCAAGCGAAAAGCTACGGGACAATGGGCACATCCAACCGCAATCGACACCACCACGAGATCCTGTAGCCAATATAAGAACAGAACAAACAGCGACAAACCTCACTTTACAACAACAACTGCAGCTAATGCAACAGCACATATTGCAGCAAACAGAAGCCCAAATGAAACAGTTCTTTGTCGAATTTCAAGACCTGAAGCGATACGTTCATGAAAGCCTCGACAAAGAAACGAAGCGTCGACGTAAGCAGAGCCAACCGCGGTCCCAGGAGTCCGACGCCAAAAGCATGCTTACCTCGGACGCTGAAAGCACACCCACCTCCTCGCATCATGGCAATTAACCGACGCATAGCAAACGAGAATCTCACTATATGGTCCTGGAACTGTCGTTCCCTGCACAACAAGCACGCTACACTCACTCTATACATAAAGGCGGCGCTGGTTCCTCCTGACGTAATCTGCTTGCAAGAGGTGGGAGCCAGGCCTAAAACAGTTTCTGGCTACAAACTGTACATGGATCCAAATACACCTAAGATTGCGACACTCGTCCGGAAAGAATTGGCAGCTACATGCATAACGGCACCGAACGAAGAGACGCAACACCTTATCGTAACGCTCTGGCCAGCGAAGAAAGGACGCCCGAGGCAGGTTATATGTAACATATACAGTCCCCCACAAGACAGAAAAGCAGAATTCAGCAATATCTTCCACTATTTGAACAACAAGCTTCAACCACGCGACCGCTTGATCATCACTGGGGACTTCAACGCTTGGCACACCACATGGGGTTATAGCGCAGACAGACCCAAAGGTACGCGACTTTTAGAAGCGATACAGCGCTACGACTACACACTCCTCAGGACACCGGGCATACCGACTCGTATAGGAAACAGTGTCAACAGGGACACCACTCCCGACCTTACCGTAACCAACAATGCCGCGACCATGCGCTGGAGTGTGCTGGAAGACAAACTGGGCAGCGATCACAATATTGCGCAAATAACATATGAAACAGCTCGACTGCGACGCCCGCTCGGAAAAGCCAGACTGACTAACTGGACTAAATATAGAGAGCAACAGGAAGTAGACGGGCCCAAGCCAACAACTATAGTCCAATGGACACCGTACATTAAGGGTCTCTATGACAAGAACACCAAGATATATCAAACAACTACCGACGCACCTGCCATTGACACCCACTTGACACATCTTTGGGAAGCTCGTCGAGGCCTCACGAAACGGTGGCGCCGACAAAAGCTAAATAAGAAACTCAGACTCCGTATAGCGAAAATCACAGAGGAAGTAAACGCATACTCAAAGGAACTTTACAACAACAACTGGCGCACCTTCTGCGATTCCTTAAAAGGCACATTAAGCACGAAAAAGACGTGGAACATCCTACGGAGTCTTTTGGATCCCTCTGCAACAAGAACCGAAACAAACGCTACCCTTCAACGGCTAGCTGGGGAATTTCAAGGTGATCCGGATCAGTTAATAGAAGAGCTGAAACAACGCTACACAGGAGAACGCAAGCGAAACGTTAGCCCAACACCCAGTCAAGAATACAATGGAGAACCCAACACTGAGCTCGACGCCCCCATAACCTTTGCTGAGGTTTATGCAGCGGCTCAAAGCTTCAAAAGAAATACAGCGCCCGGATTGGATGGCATTACAAATGCCATGGTACGGAACCTCAGCGATGAAGCATTACAAGCCATCACAGACCACTTTAATCAGGAAGTCTGGACACCGAGTGGAAAGATACCTGCAGAATGGACACTGGCACAGGTTGTACTCATACCTAAACCAGGCAAACGGCGAAGCCTTGATCAGCTACGACCAATTTCTTTAACGTCATGCATTGGCAAGCTCTTCGAAAAAGTTATACTCGCTCGCCTTGAGCAATACACAGAAGAACGGGGGCTTCTACCAACATCTATGTACGGATTTAGGCGAGGAGTGTCTACCCAGGATATCTTCTTACTGCTCAAAGAGGAAGCGCTTAACCCAGCGCCAGGTAGTCTCAACAATCTACTCGTTGCACTGGACATCGAAAAAGCATTTGATAATATTGCGCACTCTACCATACTAGACGGTCTTGCAGCCATAGGATGCGGACAACGCATATTCAACTATGCCTCTGATTTTCTTGGAAATCGCAAGGCGCAGATTGGCATAGCTGGTACCAAATCATCACCATACGACCTCCCACTGAAAGGCACACCTCAGGGCTCCATCTTGTCTCCATTTTTATTCAATATCGGCCTCCGGAAACTAGTCCTCCAGCTGGAGACTGTACCAAACCTGGGCTGTGCCTTTTACGCGGACGATATTACGCTATGGGCAACAAAGGGCTCCTATGGAGAAAGACAAGATGTACTGCAAACCGCTATAGACATGATTCAAGGCTACCTCACTGCTGCAGGCATGTCGTGCGCACCTAGCAAATCGGAATATTTGCAAATAAGACCCCCACGAACTCGGTCCAACCGTGCACCAGCGCTGCAGCTAGAAATTGCCGGACAGATCATCAACAGGACCCCAGTAGCTCGAATATTAGGCATGCACGTGCAAGAAAACAACAGCGTAAAGACTGCAATAGGCAAACTCAAACACACCGTAAAGAGTATTGCATCCCTTATAGCTAGAATTGCGCGAAGTAATGATGGGATGACAGAGGCCGACACGGTACGCCTTGTACAGGCCTTCGTTCTCAGCCGTGTCACGTTCGCTCTTCCCTTTCAATCAACACGCAAGCCCGAAATAGAGCAGATTGACAGACTCATCAGAATTGCGTGCAAAGCAGCGTTGCGACTTCCGAACAGCACAAGCACAGAAAAACTCATGGGACTCGGCATGCATAATACGTATGAGGAATTGGCCGCCGCCACGCTAATCGCACAGTGAGAACGACTCACCACTACGCTCCAGGGAAGAACACTGCTACAGAGGCTGGGATACCCTCTCACCCCTCAATACTGTGGCGATGAGACAGTCATTGTAGCCAAGCAAATACGTGATCAAATAATCGTGGAACCAGTTCCAAAAAACATGCACCCGCTCTACAACAAAAAGCGCCGTCAAGCGCGAGCACGAAAACTCCTGCAGAGAAGTAGCGATCCAGACGCTTACTTTACCGACGTCAGTCTTTATCCCGCGCCACCACAAGGCTCCAGAAAACAAGCATATGCATTGGCAGTGACTAACCAAAGCAAAGTCGTGGCCTGCGCGTCCCTACGCACCAGATCAAGTGCCACCGCAGAGGCAGCAGCCATAGCCTTGGCAATCAGAGAAGCCGAAAGAAGGGGGCGCTCAGCGTATATTTTGACAGACTCACAAGCTGCATGTCGCTTATACCTTAGAGGCACACTTCCAAGGTGCGTCACTGATATTTTGGGGTCCATTTTGATGGAGGCACATGGCATCACTTGGTGCCCAGGGCATGACGGCCTGGGGGGGAACGAGGAGGCAAACTGCGTAGCTCGCGGACTTACTGGCCGAGACGCAGGACTCTCCTCAGGACACCTCATAGGGCATCATGAAGAGCAAAGTGTAACAAGCAGGCAGATATTGAAAAACCAACGCCTTACAAGACGCACGTACGCCCCTCCACATCCGAACTTGAGCAGCCAACAAGCCCGGGATTGGCGCCGCCTCCAAACGAACACATACCCCCACATATCAAAACTACACGCAATTTTTCCACAGATATACACAACAGGGGTATGCCCATGGTGTAGTAACCACACAGCCACACTTACACACATAACCTACCAATGTACCGAGCGGCCAGCCAATGCAGTATCTAGGTTGGTGCGCTCACTACAAACACTCACAACGTGGTCTTGGGAGGCACGGCTTTCCGAGCTGGCACTGGGGAGCCGACTGGTGACCCTAGACCAGGCCCGGCGAGCCGCTGTGGCCAGTGGGGCTCTACAAGAGGGCTCCACCCGGGATTAGTCACGTAATTTTAATTCTTCAATAAAGTTTATTCTCTCAGTGAACTAGTATATACCTTGAACTCGAGCTGGTTAAAGGTGGGAATTAGACACGAAGCGCAAGCCGTGAGAGAGTGTGCGTGTGCCTCCTCTCGTTCAGTCCTTGGAATGTCCGCTGAATGGCGGTGCTTCTATATGGGGAATATATGACGAAAAGATGCGAGATAGTGTTACTTGGAGTGTTGAATAGGCGGACGAACGGACACACAGACAGATGCATGGACGGACGCACGGATGGCTGCACGGACGAATGGACGCATGGACGGACGCAGGAGCGGATGCATGGACGAAAGCAGGGACGGGCGCACAGATGAGTGTGCGGACGCACGAACAGACGCACGCAAGGACGGGCGGATGAACGCACGGCACAGACGCACGTACAGACGCACGCATGGATGGACGGAAGCAAGAACGAATGGATGGACGGATGCTTTGCCCCACTATCCATCATTCACTCCGTGGATATGCTGTCATTTTTTTTTGTTCCGCACACAGGC